AATTATGCTACCTGCCCACGTTGGAGACCACTGCTGTGAATGGAGCAGCTTCTAGGTCTGGATCAGTTGCTCCTTGCCCCTATTCTGGTGCGCCCCCGTTCTCTCCTATCTTTAACTCTGCGGCACACAGATGGCTCCTCAAACCATCGTGCTCTAAATAAGCATGACCAAGCCAGACCCCTGAGTGCTGCTTTCTCTTGTCTAGTGTCTCACTGTGGCAGCTGGCTGGCTTTCCAGTGGCTTGGAAGGAGTTTATAAACTTGGCTTGTGCAGCAGAGAAGAGTCTGATTGTTTTATGTGTGAGGCTGTTTTGTGGCCCTAGTCCGAGGGGCTGCGCAGACAGTAATTGTGTGAGGGGGACCCCCCAAAATCTTTAAATTTTTAAATAACTAAAGGCAATTTCTAGGCAGTGTTCTGTAATCTCTTACTGCACTTTACGTCCCAAGTGCCCCCCCTCGCCCCAGGCCGGGCCAGTACAACGCCACTCTACCACCTGTCCTTGGCTCGTCCCTGCTGTGAGCACCTGGCATCTCTGTTCCAGTCACTACTGCCCAGTGAACCTGCTCCTGCTCTGGCAGGGCTGCCCTAGCTGGGGCTGGGAGCTTTCAGGGCAGTGCGAGGGACTGAAGAGCCACCTCTGATCCTGTCCCCTCAAGCAGTCCTGTTAGAAGCACCTCCCGTTCCAGCCCAGGTGGGTACCCAGAGTGTACCGTGGACTAGGTTCTGGTCTCGTGTCCATCAGGAGGCTCTGCTCCCTGTATCGCAGCCACAGGCCATCCTAGCTCTAGGCCCTGCCTTAAATGGCTCCTGTTGTGTTCCTGGAGCAGGGAATGGGCGTCCCTGTTCGTAGCTCTGGCCTGGGAACAAGGGAGGCTCCACTGACTCCAAGGAAAGAACTGTAAACCGACGTGGCAGCTTCTTTGCACAGGCCCTGGGCTGGAGGCAGCAGAAATGTCTCAGCCAGCGTGTGAAGGCTCAGCACGTACCCTTGGCAGTGTCTCGGTCTGTTCGGGCTAGCTCTGTCTCCACACAGGCAGTGGAGCACCGCAGGGAAATGTGGAAAATGCCTCTGTGTAATGGTGGGCCGTGGGATTTCAGGCTCTGCCTTGGGCATATAGGCCAACACGCCCAAGAGCAAGGCTGCCTGGAGCCCTCCTGCCTGTTGTCGCACCTATTACGTACAATCCCTCTGACTTCCGTAACCCTCGTACTGTCTTCATGTACCCCGGGGTCTGGCTGAGACTGCCCGAGCAGGGAACTGAGTTACTGCTGGGGGGGTCTCTGTGTCCTCCTTGCACGTAGACTCTGCAGCGCGAGGGGTCCTAGGCTAGCAGAAGTGGAGGTGTGGGACTCTTATGTACAGGGCTGTTGCAGCCTCTATCAATTCTTACTTAGGGTGCTGCAGTCAAGGAACGTATGGAAAGTGAGAGGCTGCACGGCTGTGGCCACCAGTCCCTGGAGTATGGGCCCAAGGTGGGAGTCTGTCTAGCTTGAGTGCAGAGGCAGGATGCCTTGCCGTGCTCCCCTGCTCCCCAGCCGGCACGCTTTGTCCCAGAGCTGAGACCATGTCAGCTCGTTGCACACCCAGGCACAGCCCCTTGACGGGATTTATCTCATAACTGACAGCAGAGCTTTTAAATCAGCAGCGACTTGTGCTCCAGAAACGTCTCCTGAGATCAGAGGGCTGAGAGAACCAGGGGATGGGAGCAGAGGCCCAATGATGTCCTTGCTACACCCCTTGGGCAGAGCATTTTGGAGTGTTCTCTGGCCCCACGAAGGCAGCTGAAGCTGGGCTTTGGCTGTCCCTCTGTATTGTGTGTGGGCTACTCCCCCGTTTCCCTGTTAGTGCGGGACAGGGCAGACTCCAGAGGAGTTGGTAGCTCTGTCACTGTTTGCCTAGATGGACACTTCTGCACTCTGTGTGACTTCCTGCTCAATGGAACATGCCATGGGAGTGGTGGCTTATGGGCCTATGAATTCTTTAATGGTAGCCCCTCCTGGCCTCTTTCGAGCTAGGACGATCTGCTTTCAGATCCCAGGTTTGGGAAGCGTTAGATTATTTATTGAGTAGATAATATAGAGGCACTTCCCAAAAACCTCCTCCTAGCCCAACAGATGCCAAACTGGCCCAAATGGAGCCTGTTCTCACCCCCTTTACCAGAGCAGTGTAGCCCCTCGCAGGCGGTGCTCTTCCTTGGAGGACACCATGTCTCATGAGGGTGGCTGCAGCCTGCTTTGGTGTAAATTAGATGAGCTCCTGGTAGGCTTCCAAAGCAACATGTGGGCCCCCTTGTCCTGCATTGCACTGGGAATCCCGGGCGCAGCACAGCGTCCTGCGTTCTACCGGGCCATGTGCATGGCACACGTGGCAGCCGCCCATGTTCAAATGGTGCTAACGTGGTTCCAAAAAGCCCCTGCCAAGGTATCCAGTGAACAGGCTGCTGCATGTCGCTAACCCAGGCATTGTTGCATGGTAGGAGCACAAATGGGTCACAACAATTTGGACCCCAAATTTTCTTTCAGGATGTAGGGAGAGGAAGGGGTCTTGTATGCTTGTGCTGATATGCCCACCCGCTCCCTGAGAACTGTGTCCGCAAGAGAATTTGAGGCACCAGTGCTGGTAGCAATGGGTGGCTTTTCGTTGCTGGTAGGTCTGCAGGAGACCTGGTGATAAATGTGTTACTCTTCCTAATAACATCCAGGAAAAGGGGCGGGGGGGAAGGGGTCCTTGTAATCCGTGTTCATTCTATGGCTATATTTAAAAGCAAAATGTAGAGTTTGTAATAAAAAATAAAAACAAAAAAAGGTGGAGGAGAAAGTTCTGGGCAATAAAATTTGTTGGCTGAATGTGGTGGGGTCTTTTGAGCTCGTCTTGCAGACATCCCTCTCGCGTGGGGTGTCAGTCTGACATTCAGCACCAGGCATGGGGGGAGAAATCACTTCTTTTCAGATGCCTGTCTGTGGCGGTACTGTACATGCAAACCAGAGCTAGCAGCGAGCGTCTGTTAAGACTCGAGTTGTGTATCTGCTGTTGGGGTGGTGTGGGCAGCCCCCTGAGGGAGGTAACAGGTTGGGGTGGGGCAGAGCCAGCTGGCAAGTGGCTGGCTACCAGCTTGGATTCTCTTCTCCCCTCTCTTCCCCCCCGCCCCCGTCACTCATTGCTCAGAAAAACCCCTTTCTGTTGCAGTTGCTCAGCCAGCAGCCTTGGAGAGTTGTGACAATGCCAATGACAGTGAGGGGATGGGAGAATATGGAGGACTCTCAGCTGTTTGGTTGTGTCTGCTCAGCATCACTCTTCTTGGAAACCTTGGCAGCCTCTACTCTGCAGTGGCCTAAGATGCTCTAGTGTCAAGTCCCTCCTTTATGGACACCTCCCAAGTCTTCGACGTTCTGCTGGCCAGGAAATCCCCAGGACAGCCGCTACCAGCCTTGAGAAGCTGCTGTCTGGAATCTGGGCCCTGTGCCTGCTGGGCCTGGGCAGGAGCAAGGCTAGAGGTGCTGCGATCTGACTCAAGTTCAAGTACTGCAGCCCTCTCCCCTTGCAGCTAAGGGAGCCTGGCGGGTACAAGCCTCCTGCTAGTTAACTTATACCTCGGGGGGGGCTGGGACCCAGGTGCCCTGGCTTCTACTGGCTCTGACAGTGGCCTGCTGGGGCAAGAACAACTATCTTCAGGACTGGAGAAGGGCAGATATAGCCCCTATCTTCAAAAAGGGGAACAAAGAGGACCTGGGAGTTATAGACCAGTTACCCTAATGGTGATACCTGGAGAGAGACTGGAACAAATCATGAAACAGTCAACTTGTACGCACCTTGAGGCTAACCGCTTTAGAAGGAATAGCCAGCATGGCTTTGTCTAGAACAAATCATGCCACGCTACCTTGATTTCCTTCTTTGGAGGGGGTACTGGCTTAGGGGAGGGGGGGAAGCAGTGGACATCATGTCTTGATGTCAGTAAGTCTTGACACAGTCCCATGTTCGTAGAAGCAAACAAGGGAAATGTGGTTTAGATTAATTTACTGTCAGGTGTGCATAAGAACAGCAACACTGGGTCAGACCAATGGTCCATCTAGCCCCGTGTCCTGTCCCTGACAGTGGCCGGTGTCAGATGTTTTGGAGGGAACAGAGAGGGCATGTATCAAGTGACCCATCCCTTGTCAGCCAGTCCCAGCTTCCGGCAAGCAGAGGCTTAGGGACACCCAGAGCAGGGGGTTGGGTCCCTGCCCCTCCTGGCTAATAGCCATTGCTGGACCTATTCTCCATGAATTTAGTGAAACCAGTTATAGTTCTGGCCTTCGCAGCATCCCCTGGCATGGAGTTCTGCAGGTTATTAGCCCCAGGCTCGGGGAGCCCTGCCCCGGGCCTTATTTGCCCTGGGCTGGGTGTTATTGGGGGGACGTTCCCGGGCGGGGGCGCAGGCTGCCCCCCCCCCCCGGTCTTTGGTCTCTGCGCCAATGGTTCACGACCTTGATGATGATTACCTGTTCTGTTCATTCCTTCTGGGGCACCTGGCATTGGCCACTGTTTGAAGACAGGATACTGGGCTAGATGGATTTTTGGTCTGATCAAGTATGGCTGTTCTTATGTTCTTATGACTCTGCTATCCACTGACTAGCTGAGAGGTCACAACTGCAGGGCATGCCTTTTATTCATAGATTCATAATAGGAACATTGGCCTTGGCCCTGGCATACTCAGTTGCAGAGTACTGTGCACTGGTGCGGACAACTTATGGATAGGCAGCTGGATCAGACAGTCCAAATCATCGCAGGAGCTTTAAAATCAGTGCCTCTATCACAGCTTTGTGTATCAGCAAACATCAAACCTCCAGCACTCCATGGAGATAGGGCCACAGCACGAGAGCTTAAATGCGCTGGAGATTACCTGGAACTTCCCATTAGGTTATGGACAACATAGCCCAACAGCCGGCTGGGGAGATGCGGCGGGCGCTAGGACCTGGGGCGGCGCGAGGGAGCCCCCTCTGCCCCTCGCCCCGCCCACTCGCTCAGCGCGGGGCGGAGCCGGCGGACGCGCTGCGGCGTAACGCTGACGTCATCGCGTCTCCCCAGCGGAAGTAGGAGCGAGGCCGGGCTCAGGCGGGGAGGGTCCCCCCCCAGCCTGCCCCCCCGGTGGGTGCCCCCCAATAACTGGGCCCCCCCGGTGGGTGCCCCCTCCCCCCATAAATGGCCCCCCCCGAGCCTGCCCCCCCGGTGGGTGCCCCTATCTCCCCCCATAACTGGGCCCCCCCCCGAGCCTGCCCCCCCGGTGGGTGCCCCCTCCCCCCATAACTGGGCCCCCCCCCCTGTGGGTGCCCCCCCCCCCCGGTGGGCCCCCCCCGATACCTGCCCCCCCGGTGGGTGCCCCCTCCCCCCATAAATGGCCCCCCCCCCCTGAGCCTGCCCCCCCCGGTGGGTGGCCCAATAACTGGGCCCCCCCTGGGTGCCCCCTCCCCCCATAACTGGGCCCCCCCCCCCGAGCCTGCCCCCGGGTGGGCCCCCCCCCCCCCATAAATGGGCCCCCCCCGAGCCTGCCTCCCCCCGGTGGGTGCCCCTATCGCCCCCCATAACTGGGCCCCCCTCCCCCCCGAGCCTGCCCCCCGGTGGGTGCCGCCCAATAACTGGGCCCCCCCCTGTGGGTGCCCCCTCCCCCCATAAATGGGCCCCCCCGGTGGGTGCCCCCTCCATAACTGGCCCCCCCCGAGCCTGCCCCCCCCGGTGAGTGCCCCCCCATAACTGGGCCCGCCTGCCTCCCCGGTGGGTGCCCCCATCCACCCCATAACTGGGCCCCCCCCCCCCCGTGTCTGCCCCCCCGGTGGGTGCCCCCACCCCCCCATACTGGCCCCCCCCCCCCCGTGTCTGCCCCCCCGGTGGGTGCCCCCCCCCCATAACTGGGTCCCCCGCCCCCACCTGGGTGTTCCGCCTCCCCCCCCCGAGCCTGCCTCCCCCCCAGTGGGTGCTCTCCTGCCCCTCTTACTCTCTCTCGCTGCAGCAGGGGACCCGGAGCCGGACCCGCCGCCATGGAGTTCCCGGACCTGGGCGCGCACTGCTCCCAGCCGACCTGCAAGCGCCTGGGTGAGGCCCCGATCTGGCTGCGGGGGCAGAGCCTGGGGCCACCTGCCCCCCCTTGGCCGCCTCTGCCCCCGGTGGGGCCGCGCTGGCTTGGTCAAGTGGGGTTGTGGCTGTTTATTGCCCTGCCACAGCCCAGTGACCTGCAGCATCGCAGCCGGGGGCCAGGACTCCTGGGTTCTCTCCCCGGCTCTGGGAGGGAGGCAGGGTCTAGTGGGATACAGCAGGGGGGCTGGGAGCCAGGACTCCTGGGTTCTCTCCCCGGCTCTGGGAGGGAGGCAGGGTCTAGTGGGATACAGCAGGGGGGCTGGGAGCCAGGACTCCTGGGTTCTCTCCCGGCTCTGGGAGGGAGGCAGGGTCTAGTGGGATACAGCAGGGGGGCTGGGAGCCAGACCTGAGTTCTCCCCCGGCTCTGGGAGGGAGGCAGGGTCTAGTGGGATACAGCAGGGGGGCTGGGAGCCAGGACTCCTGAGTTCTCTCCCCGGCTCTGGGAGGGAGGCAGGGTCTAGTGGGATACAGCAGGGGGGCTGGGAGCCAGGACTCCTGAGTTCTCTCCCCGGCTCTGGGAGGGAGGCAGGGTCTAGTGGGATACAGCAGGGGGGCTGGGAGCCAGGACTCCTGGGTTCTCTCCCCGGCTCTGGGAGGGAGGCAGGGTCTAGTGGGATACAGCAGGGGGGCTGGGAGCTGCCGCAGAGGTGCACTCTGTGCAGGGGTGTTGGGGTCACGTGTGTGGTTGGTGGCGCAGTAGCCGTGACTTTCTAAATCCCGTTTCTTTGCTTACTTGGTTGCCTTCATGCTTAAAACCTCCTGACAGAGGCTGTGGGCCCCGTGCTTTGTTACAGTGAGGGGGCGCGGTGCATTCTGGGATGGGAGCAAGGGGCAGCGACCCATGCGGTTCAGTCTGTCTGCAACCCCCTCGGGGAATAGGGGGTGATTGGAGCCCTTCATGCCAAGGGCCTAGGGAGCTGGTGATGTTGGCATGCCCACCCCAAAGCAGGTAAACAAGTGCCTTTCTCAGCCCTTGTTTGTTACCCGTGTGTGTCTCTTGTGGGCTGTGTCCCAAGTGTTCAGACCGTTGGGGGATGGTGGGGACCAGACAAATGATCAGTCTGACTCCTGGGCACGGTGCCCCGGTCCCTCTGGGGCTTGTCAACAGGTGCTAACTGGCCAGTCCAGGGCTTGCTCCCATGGCACCTGGCTGTGTCACAGAGCTCGCTTTGGGGTGGGGTGGCTCCTTTGTGGGGTCGCTCGTGCTGTGGGAGCTGGCTTGGCTTTGCTCTCTCCTCTCGCTCGTACTGCTCACGCGCCATTGAGGCTGCTGCTGGGTGCTGTGTCTTGATTTCTTAGTGGCTTGCCTCGTGCCGCAGAGACCTGCAGATCCCATTGCTGCTTCTGGTCGGTCTGTGCCCCCTTCGTATTCCAGTGACTGGCATCATCAGTCTCCTCACTGGGAGGGGGAAGGGCGGGCGGGCAGGCGCTGACGGTACAAACCCTCGTTGTCAAGAGCGTGTAGCTTTGACATTAAAACTGTCTCTTGCTGTCTCTCCTACCGCGGTGACTGTTTCGGGGTTGAGTCCTTGGCATCCCTGAAGGAGCGTGAAGAAGCTGTGCCTTCGGCTTGCTAGGAAATATTCTGGATCATTTAAACAACTTTGAAAAGCTACAAACATTTCCTGCAGGCCATAAATGTGCGGTTTGTTTTTAAACTGGAGCAGTGCATGCTGGGAGCTGTAGTCTCCGGCAGCTCTAGCTACATATGGAATGGCTCAGTCTTTCAGCGGCTGCAGGCCTGTGACCCTGCAGGCTGTCCCAGGCTGTGCGTGGCTGGGCTGTGCCCTCGGAGCTGGCTGGCCCCTGGGCTGTGCAGTGGGAAGCGCTGACTCTGTAGCCCCTGACCTGCCTGCTGTCTCTCCTGTCTTGCCAGACTTTCTCCCTCTGAAGTGCGACGCGTGCGAACAGATATTCTGCACCGACCACATCACCTACACCCAGCACCAGTGCACCTCTGCCTACAAGAAGGTAAGTGGGGAGGGGTGGCTGGGGCCTGGCTCCATGCGGAGTTGGGACTACCTGGCAGCCTCATTCTGAGACCTGCTGAGCAGCTCCTGGCAAAACCTCAGGATCAGGCCCCACATGCGCAAGTGAAGCCTGGGACGAGGGGCAGGTGGAGCCAGGGGAACTGCCTGGTGTATAGCAGTGCCTGGCTAGTCTGAGAGCGAGGCGAGCTCAGCCAGTGACAGAAGGGCACTGGGCGTTCCCTGGAATCCGTGTTGCGATCCTCCAGCAGCCAAGCCCAGCAGAGGGGCAGAGAACACGAGGTGGCGACATCTGCCAGGCCAGCTGAATGCTTTCTAGGACCCCAACGCTAGGGGATGGAGGGATCACAGCAGGGCTAATGCACGTGGACTTAGGAAAGTATCTAACGTCGTCTCTGCTGAACTAATTCCCACGGGCTTAGCTCAGAGCGCTGCTCGCGGGGTCAGACTCTGAGCAAAGGGACTGGCAACAAGCTGTTGCCCGGCTCCGGGGAGGCACGGGTGTTAGGCCGGGGGTGGGGGAGGGTGTAAAACTGTGTGCCCCTATAGAGTAGATGCAGCGTCCACCAGCAGAAGGGGTTTTTCCATCCCCCCCTCAAGCAGCGATCTTTCCTTGATCTAGCTGGAGCTCCCTCAGGCGACTTGGCTGTGTGTTTTTACACCCCTGAGCGTTTAGTGTCACTTCTCTGTGCAGCCCAGGCCCGAGCTGCATTTCACAAGGGATGGGGTAGCAGCTCCGTCACTTGGGGTCTTTAACCCAAGCCTGGCAGCTGCTTTGCAGGCTCTGTCCTATCTCCTCTCGCGTGGCTGGGTGAGACTCTGTGGCCTGTGTTATGCAGGGGCTCAGGATGGATGGTCAGAACCGTCCCTGTTCCCTTCACGGATTAACAAGCCGCCAGCGTTCCCAGGGGTGTGGCTGTGCCCCGGGCCTGCTTGCTTAGCAAAGGCAGAAATAATCTGGAGGGTTAGAAAATACCACAGGAGAGAACCATCATCTGCAAGGCAGCTCCTGCCCCTGGGGGGAACGGAACAGCACAGATTGGCCTGGAGTGGGCTGGGGGGCGTGTTCAGCCTGGCCTCTGGTGTGTTGCAGGACGTGCAGGTCCCCGTGTGCCCTCTCTGCAACATCCCCATCCCTGTCAAAAAGGGGGAGATGCCTGATGCGGTGGTGGGGGAGCACATCGACCGAGACTGCAAATCCGACCCCGCCCAGCGCAAGCGCAAGGTAGGAGGCTGTGACCTCGCTGCTGCCTGGCCCTATGGGTCTGTGCCTCCAGGGCGTGGAGGGGGGGTCTCTGGTTGGCACTCGCCTAATGCTGGCTGGGCCTGTTGAGCCAAGTCTGCTGCTCTCAGCTGATTCCCCAGTGGGTCTTGAGCTAAATCACATGAGTGCCATGGTTCGGCATGGTCTGGATGGAAATGCTGGGGGCTGTAAATCAGTATGGAGGGGTGCAGGGCCGCTGGGGCAGGCAGTGTCCAGGCCTGGAATAGTTGGGGGCGCTGTGGGTAGGGATTGGGGGGCAGCAGGAGAGCTGGGCGCAGGAAGCCCAGGCCTGGAACAGCGGGGGCGGGGGGCTGCTGCCCTGGCAGGAACTGAGGGCGATTTGTCACGGGAGCCGCTTCCTGACCCACTGTCCCTTGGAGGCCGTGACAGGACCCTGGACCCACCCCAGTTTAGCCACAAGCTGCTGGGCTCTGTAGTGCCCCTTACGGAATAGGAGAGGACAGGTCCTCGCCGCAGGAGTGCCTGTGTGCGGTGCTCTGGCCTGTGCCACGCCAGCCCGATGAGGGGGGCAGAGTGAGCCCTTCCGGCCTTACCTCCGTGAACCTACAAGCTGGCAAAGCCCCTTCACGCTGCAGCACTTGGTCTGTGCCCGCCACTCGCTGGCACTAGAATTGAATTCCCCAGAGAGCAGCGTGGCTGGGGGGCTGGAGCTGGGACGCGGAGACCTGGGGTCTGACCCAGCCTTGCTGCTGGCGTTGAAGCTCCTGGAACGTACATTACCAGGGCTCCGTCCACTTAGCAAACCCACAGCGGGGTCGGAGGTGAGAGGCGGCCTGGACGCTGCTGCTGGGCTGCTCCGTACCGGTCGGGGACGGCTGCAGGGCCCTGTGTGCCGCGAGCTCACAGCTGGTCACCGGGTGCCTTGTCTCTGGTTAGATTTTCACCAATAAGTGTCTGAAGCCTGGCTGCAAGCAGAGGGAGATGATGAAGGTGATCTGTGACCAGTGCCACGGGAACTTCTGCCTCAAGCACCGGCACCCCCTGGATCACGACTGCAATGGGGTGGGGCACCCCCTCTCCAGAGCCGGGTAACGGGGGCGGAAGAAGTGCTTCTCCAGGGCAGAGCCACGCTCACCACAGTGATGACGACGGGAGAACTGCATAAGCTGCGCTCTCCCTGCCTCGTGTCTCAGCTCCCCCCTGCCCCACGCCGGCTGGGTCTGCCCCAGGCATCCCAGCTCTGCCCTGCACTGCTTGGATCTGCCCCAGCCCACCCCTCCCTCCCCCCGCGCCGGCTGGGTCTACACTGGGTGCCCCAGCCCTGCCCTGTGCTCTGCGTTCTGGTGCCAGGAGATCTCCTTGCAGAGCTGCCCTTGATGCTGGGCTGCGGTGCAAGCCGCAAGCACGTTCGATGTGCCTGCTGTTCTCTCCAGCTTCTGTTCCTAGCAGGTCTGCTTGGGGGGCCTGACTGGCCTGGGGCACCATTGAGTGACTACCCAGAGAGCATGGGGGGTGAGGCCCCATGCGGGAGAGGAGCACACAGGAAAGCAGGAAGGATGTAGGGCCTACGGCTGGGGCTGAGTACCTGAGGGAGGGGTGGGGAGACAGAGGGCTCCAAACCCCCTCCCATGCTGAGCCCCCCCAGCAGGGGGAAGCTGTTACTGATGGACGTTGTCTGTCGCAGACACGCTGCGGTTGCGAGAGCCCAAGCATCCTCCTCTGTGGCAGCCGGGACATCGAGCAGAGGAGCTTCCAGACCGGCGACCCGGCCGGCAGCCGGCCCCCCTGCTCCAGCCCCAAGCAGGTATGGTGATGCCCACGCCTCCTCTCGCCCCCAAGGCCTGGCTGCGGTGGTTAGACCCTGCAGCCCCTCCAGAGAGCTGGTGTGTGGAAATCCCCCACCCCCGGGACTGGCACATCTCCTTGGCCTGCTGGGAGCGGCACAGAGCTACCCATTAGTGGGGGGAGTCCCCACCTGGGCATTGACCCCCGTGCTGCTCCGCGTGTTAGCATTAACCCTGCTCCTCCTCTTGCGCCCAGAGGCAGCGTGATGGTGACCCTGCCGCCCAGCAGCACCTCGCCCCCGGCCGTTGCACTGCAGAATGGACTGGTGAGTGGCCCGGCGCGAACCTCCCCCAGTGGGTGCCATGGCATGGAGAACTGGGGGCCCGAGCTCCCAGGCTGTGCAGCCTCATCACCCCGTGTGTGAGGTCCCCGGCCAAGCACCAGGCTGCCAGTTCCCAGTCGTGTGCCAGGCACAGGAGCCCTGTTCTGGGCCAGCTCTGTCGCCCACCTCCGAGATGGCAGGACCGGGCCCAGCGCTCGGCTATGGGGCCCCCGTGTGCTCAGTGGCGCTGTGATGGAGCTCGCTCTGCTGCCTGCACGTGAGGGCCTGGGCTCTGCTGGAGGCTCTTAGGGGGCCCGGCCCGGCCAAGGCAACTGTCCGCGCCCGCCATTGTCTCCCTCGCTCTGTTTTCTGAACGGGGAGCGTGAGAAAGCACCAGCCCCTTGCCACTGAGGTCAGGCTGGAGGGGTGCGAGGAGCTGCTTGGTGAGCCTGTTCCCCGTAGGGGGAGAATGGGGCGGGGGCTCTGAAGCCAGATGCCTTCCCTCTGACCGTGTCCAACTCCCAGGCCTACAGCTGGGCCTAGGGTAGGAGGTGGGCCAGATACACGCACCCCCATGTCTGAGGGTGAGGGTAGGACTGTCCCCCGTGGCACAACCTCGGGGGCTTGGGCCCGCCCTGTCTCCAGGGTGTGGCTAAGCCGGGCAGGGCCGTGGGCACACCCCACTCTCCTTTCAGAGTGAAGACGAGGCACTGCAGCGAGCCCTGGAGATGTCCCTGGCAGAATCGGCGCCCGGCTCGGCACGGGCGCTCAGGTACGGTCTGGGGCTGGCGCAGCACCTGGGCCGGGCTGTGTCGCAGCTGGGCGTGCTGGCCCTGCAAGAGGGTGCCTGCTGGGTGGGGCCGGTGACATGCTGATGGTCACCTGAGAGCCGCACCACACAGAGCCTGCATAGGGCACCATTGTGGGGGCGAACTCCCCGGAAGGGGACAGAGGCTGGGGAGGGGCCGGGTGCGTTAACTGGCCTGGGCTGTGATCCCTTCACATCTTGACAACTAATAGGCAGGAATAGAATGGGCCAGGACCCGAGAAAACCCAGGCTGCTGCGAGGAGCGGTGCAGTCCAGCACGTGGTGCCCTCTTGAGCCCCGTTCTCGGGTCTGGTTCCGGGGGTTCTGTATGCGGGGGCTGCCTCTGGGACAGGCCTCGGCCTGGCTCCGTCCCAGCTGGGACACCTGCAGCCTGGCTCCCGAAGTCCCGTGCTGTGTTTGCACAGGGATTGTCCCAAAGGCTCCCCCGGCCTCTCTGGGCTCGTTAGCCAGCTGCTTGAGCTGTCCCTGGGGCTGCGGGGCGGCGTGGGGTGTGGTCTCCTGCCCCTGAACAAACGGCTGTCTCCAGCAGCGCGCAGGAGGAGGAGGACCTGGCCCTGGCGCGGGCGCTAGCCGCGAGCGAGGAGGAGTACCAGCGGCGGCAGCAGGAGCAGGTGAGCAGAGCTGAGCTGGAGGCTCCGTGCTGAGGCCCAGCAACGCCAGGCCGGGCAACTCAGCTCTCAGCAGGTTCTTCCCCGCTCCTCGGCACTGGGGGCTGGAGCTCTGCACCCCCACTTCCCGGCTGAAGTGAGCCAAGGCCAGACTGTCCCCGGGGGGCAGCCTGACCTGGCTAGGGGAGCCGAGCCCCTGCAGGCTCCAAGGGGCAGCAAAGGGGAGGGCTCAGCCCTGCGGGGGCGAGGCCTGTTTATTGCAGCAGCCCCATCCCTGCCCTGGAGGCCCCCGGAGTGCTGCTGTGGCCTGCGTGGGCCGGGCATGGAGCACTTGCTCACTCGTGCTATGTCACATCCAGTGTGTTCACGTTGCAGGCCCAGAGCCGGAGTTCGAGGCCATCAGACTGCAGCATGTTCTAGGCTGGGAGCACCACTATGCCTAGGGCCTGCCCGCAGCACTGGGTACCATCGCCCAGCTCTGCCAGGCCCTGCCCGAGCGTCACCTGCGGAGGACCGCCAGGGGCTTCTCCTGCCTCTTCCACAGCTAGAAACAATCAACCAAACGCTGGCCGTGCCTGCTCCCTGTAGAATAGACCGTAGCTGAACAGCGAGCTACGCCGTCACTTTGAGCTGCACGGGGCTGCCTCAGGCCACACCCGGTTCCCACGCACCAGAGCCGGCCACGGGTGTGAGGGGCGCCCTGCAGCTGCTAGCTCTGCACTCTTCTCACTGCCTGGGCCGGAACTGACCCCCACCTCTTCCCCCTCCCCAGGTGCCCAGGAGGAGGGATGGTCATAGCTGGGTAACACTAATTTCCCCCTCAGTGGGAACTCAGCCCTGGCCCTGTCAGCCCCACAGGGCCCCTGCAGCTGCACTCACTGTGCTGACCACTCTATGTAGCAGAGTCCCCTGCCCTGCAAGACGTGGCACCTTCCCTGCGTTGACATCCCCTGTGCGTGACTCCCTGCTGTCCTGCAGGCAGGGCCCAGCTGTGGGGCCAGGCCAGCCTTTCTCAGCCCCTCTCCTTAACTCCTCGGGTGCTGGATGTGGGGGAGGAAGCTGGGAAAAGCAGCTGCCCTGTTTCCCATGGGAACACAGCCTCTCCGGGCCGTGACCACAGACTGCCACAATGCCACTGCTAAGAGCCACCCCCTCCCCCAACCTAGCCCTTGCCCTGGGACGACACCTGTCCTCGAAGCGGAGCATCTCCCCTGATGATAGGGACCAGGCCCCTGGTGATAGGGACCAGGCCTCTGGAGTCTTCCCCAGAGCAGCCCCTTCTAGTCCTGCTGACGGCAGGGCTCGGGGCCGGCCTGGCATGAGGCCAGGGCCCTGCCAGCAGGCTGCTGAGTGGGGTGGGGGGGGCTCTCCTCAGCTCGGGCCTTTTGCCGGGCGATGCTGCCTGAGGTGCTCAGTGCAGATGCTTGGACACGCCGGAAGCTGCTCCCCTCCAGCTCTGCCTGCCCAGGGCTCGGCGCCGCCGGGCCTTGCTGCAGCGATGGCCGCGTGTGCCGTACTGGGTGACAGCTGCAGCCGGGCACCTCGTCCTGCGCCCTGAGCTTGTGGCCGGGCCGGCTGCGGCACGCAGGAGCAGGGGTGGCGAAAGGTTGCTCTCCGCAGGGCTGGAGCTGTCTGGCGGCCAAGTGCTGCCTGGAGGGAAATAAAGTCCTACCCAAAAGCAGGGTGTCCATGGTCTCTTTCTGGGGGGGAAGGGAACCTGCCCTGGGCTGCGCTCACAGTCTAAGAGCCTGAATCCTCTGGGCCTGGCCCAGGTACCATACAAGCAGCGCCTGGCCTCCTGCCTGGGCCGACAGCACGCGGTAGGAGCCATGGGGGTGGTAGGAGCTGGCCTGAGGCCCCAGCTCCCTGCAGGCCAGCCGCCAGAGCAGCTGTGGGCCCAGCACTGGGGCACTGTCCCCCTCCTGCCACCCCAGCTCTGGGCTGGGCTGTGGTGTTGGCTGGGAGCCGGGGTCCGACTCCAGGTGTCTGTGGGCGATGCCAAGGAGCAGAGGCTGCGTCCTGGCCCATTCGAGCAAGGGAGGGGGCTGGGCTGGGCCCAGATCAGCCCTCTCTGGCCCACGTGGCTTGGTACCTTCCCTGCTTAGTAGGGTGTGCTGCTCCTGGCCTAGGTTATAGCCTGATGCCCCTGTGTCACGGAGTCCCCGGGCGATGCTCTGGAACTGCTCCCCACGAAGCCGCCTTTCTGGGAGCAGCCTGTCTGCAGGACACACGGCTCACCCGGCTTCCTGGGTCTGACCTCGGAGCATTCAGCCTCCTCTGCCCCTCCGTGCGCTTCCCCCAGCGAGTCCGCCCAGGCGGGGTCCTGGGGAAGCCAGAGGGTCCTGCCCCCCAACTCCGCAGTCAGACGGGACTCTCAGCCAGCCAGTAAAACAGACGTTTATTAAACAACAGGAACATGGTCTAACACAGAGCTTGCAGGTGCAGAGAACCAGACCCCTCAGCTGGGTCCATTTTGGGGGGCAGTGAGCCAGACAACCACGTCTGCCCTTCACTCCATGTCCCAGCCAGCCCCAAACTGAAAACCCCTCCAGCCCCTCCTCCTCTGGGCTTTGTCCCTTTCCCGGGCCAGGAGGTCACCTGATTCCTTTGTTCTCCAACCCTTCAGCTCTCACCTTGCAGGGGGGGAAGGGCCCAGGCCATCCGTGGCCAGGAAACAGGGTGTCGGCCCTTCTCTGTGTCCAGACCCCTGCACACACCTGCCCTCTAGGGCTCTGCAATGATCATACACCCTTACCCCACCCCCTAGAGGCTTAAGAGCTGCCTAGGGGAAACTAAGGCACCCCCACAATATTCAGAGGAAACATTAAGAACAGTCCCACTCCGTCACATCTCTCCCCCCTTCGAGATCGAACTGAGAGGGGTCACTTTACCCGGTGACCTGTGACCTGGGGAAGTTCGAAGCCACCAACGTTCCCATGGATGCCCCAGCATCTCTCCCATTCCTTGGTGGGAGTTACACCAGGCCCTTCCAGTTTCACGCCCTCCCTTAGGTCGGGGGTGGTCGATAGCACTCGCAGGCCGCATGCGGGAAGGTTTATGTGGCCCGTGCCCTTTGGCCACCCCAAAACCCCAGGGGGTCAAACTGGGATTGGGTCTTCTCCCCAACAAGCTGGCCAAACACAGACACTTGGTTATAGGACTGTTTAACTTTCTTAACAGCTTTCACTTCATCTGAAACCTTCTCAAAGCTATCCACACTGGGTCTTTCAACAGGACAGTCAGTGGATCCATTCACAACAGAAAATTTCTGGCTGTTAGGAACTGAAACTTTCTTGATTAAATCACTTTCACACCCTTCAGTTGCAGTAAACTGCTTGCAAAGACTCCATGAGGATTCCTTTCCCTAGGGCTTTTCTACGCAACAATTCACCCCTCACAGAAATTCTGCTCTTACCCTCTTTCCCTAGGGCTTGCTCTAGAGGAACACTTTCCTGAGCAACAACAGACTCTTTCTGGGTCTCCCTTTGTGACGAAGTGGGCCTGTTCTTAATGTTTCCTCTGAATAGTGTGGGGGTGCCTCAGTTTCCCCTATGCAGTTCTTAAGTATCTAGGTGGTGGGGTAAGGGTGTATGATCATTGCAGAGCCCTAGAGGGCAGGTGTGTGCAGGGGTCTGGACACAGAGAATGGCCGACACCCTGTTTCCTGGCAACTGATGGCCTGGGCCCTTCCCCCCCCTGCAAGGTGAGAGCTGAAGGGTTGGAGAACAAAGGAATCAGGTGACCACCTGGCCCGGGAAAGGAACAAAGCCCAGAGGAGGAGGGGCTGGAGGAGTTTCAGTTTGGGGCTGGCTGGGACATGGAGTGAAGTGCAGACGTGGTTGTCTGGCTCACTGCCCCCCAGAATGGACCCAGCTGAGGGGTCCCGTTCTCTGCACCTACAAGCTCTGTTTTAGACCATGTTCCTGTCGTCTAATAAACCTTCTGTTTTACTGGCTGGCTGAGAGTCACGTCTGACTGCGAAGTTGGGGTGCAGGACCCTCTGGCTTCCCCAGGAGCCCCGCCTGAGCGGACTCGCTGTGGGAAGCGCACGGAGGGGCAGAGGATGCTGAATGCTCCGAGGTCAGACCCAGGAAGGTGGAAGCTGTGTGAGCTGTGTGTCCTGAAGACAGGCTGCTCACAGAAAGGCGACTACCCCAGAGTCCTGACTGACTTCATGGGGAGCAGTTCCAGAGCATCGCCCAGGGACTCCGTGACAACTGGTGGCAGCGGTGGGATGTACTGCACCCCGTGGATGGTGCTTCCTGCAGTAAGTGACTGGGGAGCAGTAACACGAAGGGGGATTGCCGAGGACCAGGCCTGCTGAAGGCTCAGAGAGGAGCGGTTTCGGGGGGGCGGTTAACCCCTGGGAGTGTGTGACCAGCGAGAAGGATTGTGCAGTAACAGGGTTCCCCTGGGGACTGCAGCGAGCAGTCCAAGGGGCGGAGGAGTCTGCAGCTCGACCCTGGCAAAGAGGTGGTGACCTCGAGAAGGGCTGGCACACTAGGGGTTCTCCCTGGAAACCGTGGGGAGCTGAGAACACACGGGCCTGTGAGTCCACAACAACTTGGGAGGAGCGGAGTGATGGCCTGTCACCGTCTCCTTAAGAAGGACATTGTAACCCTGTGCAAAAAGAGAGGGTTGAGCATTGGAAAGCTCACCAAAGCAGAGTTAATCGTGCAGCTGGAGGAGGATGACCGCTCTAAGGAACAGATTTCTGACCCCAAATGGGGCTATAGCAGGATCTGGGAGCAGCTGGAGCGGGAGCCAGGCATCGCCAAGACTCCTGTCCCCGACCAGACGGGGGTCTTCACGATCGGGTTCCCCATCGGGGGATCGAGACGGACGGGATTGGAGCGGAGTCTGAGAGAGCAAGAGGACCGTGGGAGACAGCGAGAGCCCGAGAAAGAGCTGCAGAAGCAGCAGCAGCATGAACTGGCGGTGGGGGAGTGGAGAGGCCTAGGGGACCTCCCCGGGGTGAGTGGGGATAGATCCCGGGGGGCCAGTTCCGCAGGGAACCTCGAGACTAAATTGCTGCCCCTAGTTAAGGGGGGGGGGTGTGGATGCCACCTCACTGCCTTTGAGCAGGCTGGAGATCTGAACCAGGGGGACCCTGCGGAAAACCCCGGTGTCTAGCTCCCTTGCTCGGTCCCAAGGCCACCGACTCCATCAGCCAGATGGTTGGGGATGTGGACAGGCTCCCACTCCTGACCCCAACCTATATGTCTGTGTGGAGTTCCCTGGGGTCAGGCCCCTCGGACCCCCAGTGGGAGCGGAAGGGGATGGTCAATGGGGAGACATTCCTGGGGTGGCGAGATCCTGGGACAGAGAGAACTGGTGTCAGACCCTGGGTGGTGCAGCCTCAGAGGCTGAGGGCCTGTGTGAGCTGGGTGAGGGTCCCAGGGACGAAGCCCCTCGCCCTGCCTATGGCCCAGATCCCTGTGCAGACCCAGGAGGGGTGGGGCTGGCTGGCCGTTGGGGTGCCCCAGGACACCAGCTGCGAGACCCTGTTGTGGGGTGACTGTGTCTCTTTGGGACAGGATCCAGGCCCTGCTCCTGTAACTGCCGAGGGTTTGAATTTGAATCCAGGGAACCAATCGGTGGAGAGGGAAATGGTCAGTGAAAATGCAGATGACCTGGCTGGCAGCAGGGAGGAGCCGCTAGGCTCAGGCTACCTGCCTGCCTGTAACCAGACCCCTGGGACTCGGTGGGACAGAGAGATGCTCCCTGCCCCCTTGCACACCAGACTGGGGACTCTCGCTGGCTCTGATGCAGTGAGGAAAGCAGTGGCCTGGCCCCACTGGGACAGCAAGGGCAGTGCTGAGCACAGTGGGAGCTGAGACCCCAGCTGAGTGGGGGGAGACACAGGCAGGGCAGGGGATCTGTGGGGAGTGGCAAGGTGCTTGGTAAGGGAAGTTTGGATGAGCCTAGGCAGCCTTGTGAGCTGATGGCTGTGTCCAGTCAGCAGGGTGGGAAGGCGAGGAGAGTGGAAGATGAGAGTCCCTGGACCTTACCTGTTAGCTGGGTGGAGAATTGGGACAGTGAAGGAAATGGGTCTCTGTCTGTCAGGGGTATTGACTTGCCTATGGAGGGAGCTACCCTGATCTCCAAGCAGTTGTCTGTGACCAGCCTTGTGTGCTGGGACAAAGGGAATGAGATCCCAACCTGTGTGTCTGGTAAAGGAGAAAGTGTGTCCGGCTCTTCTTGGTCTGTGGAGCAGACAGAAGGGGCCTTTCAGCCTGTGATGGTTGAGGGTCATGCAGTTGTCTCAGAGCTGGTTCTGGATTCAGCTAAAGCCCAGGAAGGGAAGGGTCCTAAGTTTCTGTCTGCTCGGGAGAATGGCCCTGTAACTAGGTCGCATCCAGTTAGGGTCTATGTAAAATCCCCGAGACCAGACAATTCTGGTGCTTGTATTTTGCCTGTTGCTAGTGTGTTGTTGGAAAGGGTGTAGCAACTCTGTCTAATCAGGGTGAGATCCTAGCCAGGGCACAAGGAGAGCAGGAAGGTGATGTGATTGTGGAACCTACTGAGGGTGTGGAAACCTGTAGCAAGAAGGAAAAGATCCCTGAACTTGTGTGTGGCAAAGGGAAGGAGAATGCTTCTAACCTTTTATCTAGGAAGTCTGTAAGTTTGCATGAAAGGGGATTGTGTAGGAATCCGCCTGATGGGCCAGAGGTGATTCTG